ATATATATATGGCTAAAAATATTTACTGCATAAATATACTATATATTGCAAATACGCTGTAAAAAAAACCACGCATGATAAATTATACAATGTGTACAATACACTTTTGCTTTCATCAGTTCGCGTTTTTTCATTGCGCCAATTTCACAAAAAGCTCATAAAAATTAGCCTACTGTTGTTTACGGGATCCTAGGCGTAAAACGTTGGCGCCCTTATGGTATACATTTTTTTCACACAAATACACGAAAGAAGGTGCGAAAGTTATTGGGGCAAAAATTATTGACTCGGAAATCAGAAAATCTAGGAGGTTGAAACTTTAAAATAATGCTCCTCTCCCGCATATAAATTAGTTTTGGCGCCAAAATTAACATGTAACGTCTCAAGCAGTAACGCAGTGGACACCTTTGATAGCAAGCTTCTCCGAAGAGATGCACAAGCATTAGCTGGAAAAGGTTGAAAAAGCGTCCGCTAGGCAGAATCGTACAAGCGTTCGCTGGATAAGGTTGCACAAAGCGCATAATCACACCTGGTACCCTGGTGTGCGCCGCTATTTATTTTTTATTGTTTCAGACACCCCAACACATTTTCTAGCACACAACGCTAGGACGCTTCGTCGAAATTCATTCTACGCAGCTGACTTTTCGTGTCCGAACTGCCTTCGTTTTTCTTGTCGTCTAATTTTGAAATCACCGATAACGGTCGGGCAGTTCCGTTCCTGTTGTTAGCTTTTCATTAATAACAACAGTGATAATAGTAATAACGGTAATAATAATATTAGTAAATAATAGTGATAATAGTAGTAATAATAGCAGTTATCGTGCCAATGCCTAGGATGTTCCTTTGGCGTGTTACGTTGCTGGCGAAGAGTTGTGACGTGCATGTATGATGCGATGAATGAAAAACAAGTGCACTTTTTGGCCTGTTTCACTAGAACTGCTCGTCTTTGATTAGTGCCTGGAAAAGCCAACATTATGACGTCCGTTTCCGTAACGTTGTACGAATACGTGTGGGTGATCTGAACCCATTGCGGTGTGTTTCTGCTGGAATACTCGACGGAGGGGAGTGCGAAGAGAGCGGTGACCTTGCAATTCGAGGACATCGGCTGACCTTATGCTTTGCTCACCACTGCTAGTGCAGTTCCATCGCTCTCGGACAACAACTCTCTAGAATCTGCCTTTTTTTCAAATTTTTAGCGGTGCTCGGGTTTGAGATGTCAAAAGCTCTAAAAAGTTCGAGCAAGCAACACTTTTCAGCAGTCCACCTTTCGGAAATATAGCTATTGGAGATTGTCCCGATAGCTCTTTTTAACTGCGAATGGAAAATTTCTTCAGTGCCGCAACTTTTGGTTCTTTCAGTCTAGTCTAGACAAGTCTTTTAAAGTTTCCCGACCGTTGTTCCGGGATCCCGAGTTTTGGCATTTTTCACTACAATCACAGCTTGGGGATGAAGGCCACTCTATCCCCTGTTTGTCTCAAATTTGTTCGCTCGCTCTGATCCTTGGCCAACAGCGAATTTTGCAAGTACCATTGTGGCTAGCTGTCATTTTTTTTTCTGTACGCCATAAACGCCCTATATTCGCTATTTTTCCAGTTGGTTGGCTAGCACTCCCAATGGATTACGAGGATTCCCAGGCAGCAACAGCAACGGAGCGAATCCCGCTATCCAGCTACCAGCGAGCACCAGGCTTGCAGCTTGATGTGCACAAATTCAGCAGCTTCGTGGGTTTTCTCGTTGCTCTGCTCTGCGGCTTCATTTTCGCCAAGTAAGCTCGCTTTGTTTCTTCTGCGATTTCTTTGAGCTTGCTCTTGAAAGGCGCGAAATTTTCGTGTCCAGTACTCGGTAGCTAGACATGTGCTTATAACAGGAATGCGGCAGAAACGGAGAGGAGGAGAGAACTGGAGAAAACGATGCATCCAGGCTTCCGGGCTGGAAACGCATCCACTCTTAACGAAATTATCAAAAAATGTGGTACACTTGCAGCAACCGCCCATTTTACCCTTTCAGATATATGCAGGAATTACACGAAGTGAAGCTGTGGTTTTCGCATATCAAGCAGGTGGAGCAAGAGATTTCTCTAAGGACCGAAGCTGGCCTTTATTATTCCTACTTCAAAATGGCCACTCAGCCAGAAATGTCACTCAGAAACACATTCGTTGCTCTACTCCATGACACAAGGTTGACTCTTTTCGCTTCTTATTTGAAATATCCGTGGGCAGGTCGAGGGCCCCTCTCTCAGCGGCACAGGCGTTAGTGTTGTAAAAATCCGGGTCTAAAGCTAAAACTGAAAAAAACTCTCTTCCGCACCCCCGCCACCCCTCCCTCCTGTTCGTCGCCGTACCAGGAGCTCTGCTCCCCCCTCACTTCTAGCCCCCAGGGAATCCGTCCTGAATTCGCCTGTTCATTCTCGCATCACTTTTGTCAGGTGGGTCTATTTCGCAGTGGCCAGTTCAAGTCTTTTTTTTTTTTCTTCAGCACCGAATATCCACGTGAAATCAACGTGCTGCAGCGCTTCAATGTGTACCAGGAGCTCATTCTCGCAACTGTATATCAAATTCTTGCTTCTTACGATTGGATTCGATTCTTCCTTCCGAAACCAATCTTGTTTTACGTGTATTCTTGTTTCGCTTGTGCGGGTTTCGGCATCACAACACTTTTCCTACTTTCTTGGATGCTAAACGGCAGGTCTGTCGTTAACATTTGTCAGAGTCCAAATGTAATATTCTATGGATTTACTTCAGATATCTGGCTGACTTCTTGTTTCAGCTGGATCTATGGCCTTCTCGTATTTGCATGGATGACAGCGAATCTGGACGATTCTACTCGAGCATTTTTTACTGTAAATTTGCGCGAAAATTTTGCGCTGCCTTTTTTCTGGCTGCAAAACATGTGCACCGTTGCTGTATTGAGGAGCAGCAGTGTTGCACTGAAGAAGTACTATCTTATTTATTTCTTTTCCACCTTCTTTTTCTCGCTCTTCTGGCAGTTCAATCAGGTATTTTTGATATTTTTTTGTTTTTTGCAAAAAGAGCAGCGGAAAAAATTTTTGGGCAGTATCGCAGCCATGTCGATTATGTTACTACAGAACCATGTGACGATTGCTTCTGCTGAAATCACAAAATTGTGGGATTACAGATTTGACCATAAAAACTGTATAAAATGCTACTGAATGTGCGTTGCCAACGATCAGTGGGGATTGTTATTTAGTGATGATACTTGCAAGAAACAGTATATACTTAGCCTGGAGCCCCTTTCATTTTTGCTTGAAAAATGGGGGCGGGGGAGGTGTGGAGGCGGGGAAGGAAGGTGGAGGGGATACCGCCAAAAATAGAATAAGTGAAAAAAGTGAGGTTGATTGCTAAGGACAAAAAACACGGGGAGGTAAATGAGCGAGCGAGCAAGTTTGGCCAGGAAAATCGTTCCATGGCCTCTTTCCGTTTAATTCTGAAAATCACTGCATTCGTAAATATTGGTACAAATCAGAAGGCTGAGCGATCTTGTAAATTTGCGGTAAATACAGGTACCCAATTAGTGATGCGTCAGTACGCGCAGCATTCTGCACATAGAATCATCGAATTTTTGGATTCACGGATTGCTCCGTTCCGAAATTACATGGTCCTTATGTAGGTGTGCGGTCGTAAATCGGGAAATCGTAAGGTTATGTTTCAAGTTCACGTGCACTTGGCCAGTGCGAGCATCCTAGTAACATCACTAAAGCAAATTCTCCACACCAACTGCCCGCACTTAGAAATCTTAGAACAGTTGGTATTTTTATTTCAGTTCATCTTGTTGCTGCAGTCAATTGGTCTTGTTGCAACCAGTATGATTATGCCACAGTTTGCTTCAGCAGTCATTCCACTGTTACTGCTTCAGTCTCTTGCGTTCTTCCTAGTTGTACTTGCGCAGTTTGCTCAACCAATGGCTGCTGCTTCTGTCTGCTCCGTGTTTAATTTTTCCGCTATTGCTGTTTTGTCATTGACAAGAAAAACAAAGAAGTAAGTGCTACTAAATCTTCCGGATATACTCTTAGGATCAGCGAGTTTACTTCATAGACTGACGTAATTGTATGCTTGACAGATTGTTGCGTGTCCACGGTGAGCAAATTTGACAAAATGCTTAAGCTTATTTAAGATTCGAACTTTTGACTTTTTTTGTTTCATTACCAGCAGTTGACCGAAACTGCTAAGAAAAACTTTCAATTGGAGCTGCCGCTGCCTCTTCCATTCCAGTATAAAACCATTGGTGGACATGCTGAATGACCACCATTTGCTGAGAGAAATGCAAATTTCTGCTATCATGTCTGCGGTGTCCACTTTCGGGGTTCCTCTTTGTTGCAGCGATTGATGGGAAAACTTGAGTAGAAATATTTCAGGAACGCATTAGTTGCAGTGTTATGCAGATTTCTTTTTATCTTTGCTGTGACAGCGTTCGCAAGTTGGGCGATCCGTTACGTGATAAATGTTGAAGCCGATAGTCACATATGGACATTTGTGAAAGCAAAAATTGGCTTACTTCCAAAGTGAGTGCAGATCCTTCAAGTGCT